TTAGTTTATACTCTTCAATTTGAGAGTTTTCAAGAGTGTTTTACTAGTTTTCATATCAGCTTGAAATTAGTGATTAATTGAAGAAGAGAAAAGAGAGAAGAAAGAAATGAGAATAACTTATCTTTATAATATAAAAATAGAGAATTACTGTAATCAGTTATTCTAGTAACAAAGATCTGTTTTCTGCATGTATTTCTAATACAGATTATATAATAACTGTATACAAAGAATATCAACAGTGTATATATTAAATAAAGATGATATTATTATATAACACTGTAGCTGTTTCTGTACATCTCTGAAAGCTGTTAATATTTTCTTTAAGTCTCTCTATATTTGATAAGTTAGTGATATATTTCAATACACTCTCTCTTTCATTATCATTATTATTATTATTATTATTATTATTATTATTATTATCACTATCATCACTATTATTATCATCATTACTATTATTATTATTATTATTATTATTATTATTATTATTATATTATTTTTAGCTGCTTCTTCTGCTTTTATCTCTCTTTAACACTCACTGAAATTAATTATATTATCTCTCTTCAAATATTCTGTGATTCTGCAGACTATCAAGGTATGTGAGTACTATTATAGATTGAAGAGAGAGAAGAAGAAGATGTTTAAGCAAGAGAAGATAGATTATAAAACATATTATAATACCTTGAAGAGACTCTGTAAAAGAGTAGAATAATAACAATTTTAAGTAACACTTCTGATAGATTTAGACTGAACTAAGTATAGAAATAATACAGATAACATTATCTATGAGAGATTGAAAAAGAAGATAGTGAAGAGTCTTATACAGTAGTAATAAGATCAGAAGAAGTTCTGAGAATGATTTAAGATTAAGATAAAGAGAGAGAGAGAGAAGCAGAGTGTTACTGTAAATAAGTAATAATAGAAGAAGATTAAGAGAATATTAAAGTAAGAGATAAAAAAGTCAAAACTGATAAGTTTTTTATTTATTAAGAGATAATGATTTTTGATAACACTTCTGTTCTCTAATTAATTAGCAGAAGCTGACAGAGAAGAAGAAAATTGAGATCTTATTCAGGTCTTGAATATACTTCATGATTTAGAATATTGAGAAAACAGCTCTGCTCTCTGAGTATATCAATCTACTTACTGCTGAGATAAAATCTGAGACAGTAAATCTGAAAATGCAGGATTTTTAGACACAGATTAATCTGACTAAGAGAGAGCAGTAGAAACTCTTTTCTAAGAAGATAGTAGAGAGAGATTTTAAGATGATTATCATCTCAGATAAGAAGAAGAAGAAGAAGAATAAGAATAAGAAATAAATTATAAAGAATAATAAGAAGAATAAGAAAGAGAAGAAAGATAATAAATAGAAAAAGTTTTTTTCTTTTTATATTAGTTAGTTATAAGTTCATAATTATTAATAATTAAAATTAATTTTAAGTTTTCAAAAATTATTATACAAGTTGTAATCAATGTCAGAAATAATAGATATATATATATTTAATAATCATGATTTACAAATCACTATAATGTATAAGTATCAACATTTTTTCAATATTAATATTCATAATATTAATATATTTTTAATGATATTATCTGATAATGCAATTTGATAATACTCTCTTTCATAATATTAATATATTTCAAGAAATATAACAGAGATTAATCAAGATTGTTTATTTACTTTTATACATTGATAATATTCAATCTGAGTTAGTACTAAAATTATAACTAAGCTAAGAAAGAAGATTATTTTCTCTTATAATAATTCTTCTTATATATATCAGTGATCAGTTATTATCTTTATTAAAAATAAATTATTATCTTTTTTAAATCTTTGAATTCACTTCTTTCACTTCTTTTATTTCTATTGAAGATTTATAAACTCTTTAAGAAATCACTGTGAATCACAAAGTCTATATTATTTACAATTTAACACAGAATACTCTCTTTCAATTATAATAAATAATCACTTCATTTTTCATATCTGATTCCAGGTTATAAAATTTATGAAAAACTCAACATAAATATTAAGATAAACTATGAAATAATTATTAATAGATTATATTACAGATTACTGAAGAGTTATCTCTTTATTACAATTACTATAACTTCATTCAGAAACATTCATTATAAACTAATCATAGCTCTGAAGAAATTTCCTGATATCTGAAGTTATCAGAATACAGATAATAAAAGAAAAATAATCAGAAAATTACTACTGAGCTGATAAGTTACTCTATCAGATAATAATTTTTAATAACACTAACTTTCTAATTTGAAGAAAATCATGTGAAAATAATCTTATATCAGTACTCTGATTCTATAACTTTTATCTGATAACTTTTATAAATAATTACTTTATATATATATATCTCTGAATCTTTCTCTTTAATCAATTGAAAACTCTGAATTCTGAACACTTCTTTAAATACTTAATTCAAATCTTTATATTTTATATCAATTCTGTCTTTGATTCAATCTCAAGATATACTACAAAGTTAATATACAACATCTAGAATCAGAGTTGAAGAATTATCAAAGAGTGTCTCTCACAGTGAATACATAAACTAGTATAAACAATCTTACATTTATAAGAGTTATATGTTATTACATTGATAAGAACTGAACTTATTAAGAGATATTAATTAAATTTAAATCATTAATCAGTAGTTATACTGAGAATTATATGATAGAGATATTAATAACAGTGATTAAAAATAACTATTAAGATATTAGTCTCAGTCTTCTTATAATTATAACTGATAATACTGTGAATAACTACACTATGATAAAGAGCTTGAAGTAAAAATTGACTTTGTATTTCTGAAATAATAAACAAGATCATATTCTCTGTATTACTTATATAATTCAACCTGTGATGTAAACACTAATAAAGAATCTTAATATCAAGACAATAAATAATAAGATAACTGATTCTTGAGATAAGAATGAGATAAAAGTGATTACTTAAGTAACTTTAATATTCACTTTATAAAAGATAATGTTTTTTAATAATACTTTTTAATATTGCTTTTTAATAATACTTTTTAATAATACTACTGTTAATTTTGAATAGATTGACTAATAATTTAAATATCATAGATTTGAAATATTATTAATACAATTTATATCTTCTCTAAATAATAATAATAATTTTATAATATTTAATAAATAAATAAATCAGTCACATCACTGAATATGATACAGAATGTTAGAATATAATGAAGTTTAATAGATAAAATAACTGTTCAGACTCTTCAATTATATCAGATAATTAATTATTGAGTGTAACACTCTGATTAAGAAAAGATTCAGATATTGAAACTTTCTGATATGAAGTGAACTCAGTTGAAATATGTGATTGATTTACTGTTTCAGTTTTATAAGATAATGAAGACAGTCTCAATTACTTATATATTAATACTGCAGTCAGTCTGATAAGTGTATAACAGTTTATTTACTTATCTTGAGAAGCAGTTGAATCACTTAAAAAGAAATTCAGTCTGAGATAATACTATAGTACAGGCTATTATTACTGTAAGAGATAAACTAGTATATTATTACAGTAAAACTGAACAATCTTTTACAGAGTATTATACTGTAGCAGCTCTACTAGATCTCTTTCTTTAAGTTAATATCTATACTTCTCAAGATTGAACAGAGAAGAAATGAGACTTATATATTAAATTAACTCAAGACTACTACAATGTCAACTATTAGAGATTTGAATAAGTAGATGTTAAAGATATGAAGACAGTGAAATATAATTCTCTAATAAGTAACAATCTTTGATAACATTTCATATTATATAGAACTATAATACTAACTTTGAAACAGAACTTGCATACATTGATTACAACTGAAAATCAGGTAAAACTATATACTTATAAAACTGAATTTGACTGCTATCTTCAAGATGATTCAATGAATTTACACATCAAATCAATTCTAGAGTTATGAAAAATTGTTAAGAGTATATATTCAACTGTTACACTGATGATATATGATTCTCTGACAATTTCATTGACAGAGGTGAGAATGATGTGAAAGTTCAACTCAAGCTAAGATATTTATTACTATTACTGAGAACAATTACAAGGAGAAATAATTAAGAAACTCATGATTGTAAAATATGAAATTATCAGACAGTTTAATACCTCTGATCACAGTATATCAGAGAAGTGTAGTTTTCATGAGAAAATAGAGAATAAACTTGTATAAGAATGTATTTAGTTGTTTCATGTGTGATTCAAAGGTTGCTTGAGCCAGCGTACGATTACAGGCGTACGCTAGCTTCTTATATACAGTACACTAAATTAATTAGTGGCCGCTATGGCCCCTTTTACATTCATAAGCAATATCAGAAGTGTAAGCATGTTCAAAAGCAGCTGCATTATTATTCAGTGATTGTATATTCTCTCAAACCTCATTCTCTCTCACCAGATTCAGTCACACTCATGTGATCATGATGTACATCCTAGCTTCATGCAGATTAGCGCGTCACTAGCACTCACAATAGTGTAGTCTATTTCTGATTCAGCTAGCATTCTGTTTACACTCTCACAAAGAAACTTCTACTATATTATATCACTCATTCACTAACTTTTTTCATTCTTCAATCATCTTCTTCATTATCATCATCATCAAATGTTATCATCTTATTCAAGATCTCTATCTCTTCTTCTTCTGTTTAACATCTTCTATTAGTTCATCTATCACATTATATGCATTTCTGACAATGGCTTCTCATTCTCATAACAAGTGTAATCATAGTGTCTATATCAGGCAGTTTATTAGCAGTCAGTATAATATGTTATGAAATATAATCAGAACTTGTTTTCTTCTAATGATTATCAGAACATATTACTATAAATGACACATCTTCTTCATCTTCTCATACATTCTTAACTGTTTTTCTTCTCAGCAGACTTCTGATTGTGTTTTCTGACATAATTTTATATGAATATAGATACTGATGTTTATTTTTATTTATATAGAATCTTCACATGTTGATAGATTCACATTCATCAATGATAGTGAACATCTCAATGTTAAATCATTGATTGAAAACTTGAAGACTACAATAATAAAGAAATTGTCTGTGTCATATATAATCAGGTCTTCTATATCTCTCTCTATCTCTTCTATCACTGTTTCTCTCTCTGCTGCTCTTTCTCAATCTTCTACTCTTATGCCTGTTTTCAGTTCTCTCACTTCTGCTATTCTCATTCTCACAATCTTCACTTCTGCTACTTCTGCTCTCTCTGCCTCTGCTACTGCTTCTGCTTTCATTATCAGCTCTCTCTGTTTTAAGAAGATGTTGTATAGACTTAATGAATCATGTTTCTCAGTATATACACTCTCACTCTTCTTACTAATCTCTAAAACAATTTATTATACAAAGACTGCATATAACACAAGTATCTGAAGCTTGATCACAGACACTGATTATTACATTTATTTTAAATATTCATGATAAAACAATTATTTATTCATATCAAAGAATCATCTCTCTTCTCAACAGTATTAAGATTGTAAGTCTTTTTCTTTTTCATTCTTTCTTTCTAACACTGATTTTTCTATTCTTAGAGAAAATTATTATGAGTTTTATTATACATGAAGTTGTGGCATTCACAGACATCAAGAAACTTTTCACAATTATTAAATTCAATATTACAGATATATTCACTCTGATAAATTTCTTTGAGATAATAGATCTGTATCAGTCTATTCTCTGACATCTGTCATCTGACTTTGTGATGCAGATGAAAGATATTCATGTTTTTGAACACAGAAACATGAATATCATACTCTTTTACACTCACAGGCATGAGGCTTATACACCTTGTCTGAGATGTCATTGTGAGAATAAGCTGTTCACACACTGCATTCTGCTTCCTGTATTTCTCTGTGTCTCTCTCTCTCTTTCTGAGAAGCCTTGTGCTTGTTGTAATTATGTGTACAATTTCAAGATCAGCAGATGTTCATTCAGTAATTGTTACTCTTGTTTTTGCAGTTTCATATACTAACAATAGTTCTTAGTTACTTCAGTGCCAGAGATCATTTTAATTGAAGATGATAACACTGTCAAGACTACTCTCTTCTGTCTCTAAGCTTCTCTCAGTACTTTCTCTCTCTTCTCTGCAGAGAATATTGTGTATATATCAGATTATAAGCATTCAGCTCTGAGTGACTCTTACTATCATTCATTCAGTCCTGCACTCTCTTCTTCTTTCATTTCTTTCATCTTCACTTTCTCTGTCTTGACTTCTGATTCTGCAGATTTCATGCTCTTCTTTAATTTTTCTACACACACACATACATATTTCTATATTGACATTCCAGTCAATCTTGCAATAAATGACATTAATATCATACATAGAGTAGTAGATAAATCAGAGACATGCATGATGTTATTACAAAAGTGACTTATAACTCTTAAATTTCTTACAGATCTCAAGTTACAAGATTTTCTTTGTTTTTAATGTTTTTCAGATGATGTGATATTAAAAATAGATTAAATGTGTAATATATGAAAATGAATAAGATATATATAATAATATTTGTCTTTTACAGTCAACTCTTTCAGTTGATGATCAATTCATTATCTTCTCTCTTTTCTTACACTTTTTCTTTATCTGCTAGCCACTACTCTTACACAATCTCTATATAGTACAGCATTCAGTGACTAAATTCAGCAGCTTTTATCTCTTATGATTCTGTCTCACACATTATACTGTCTCTCTTCACCTGCTTAGACTACTACAGTGAACAGCTTATTAAAACTAATCTCATCTGATCTCTGAGTATTCTCAGAAGTTAAGATGACTTGATCTCATATGTCTGTGAATGTTTCAGATACTTCATTCTCTGTTATCTCTGTGATTGAACTGATATAAACAGTTAAATTCAACTCTGAATTTCTTTTTCTTCTGCAATCTGACTCATGTATAAGTCTGTTATTCTGAGATCACTCTTTACTATGTTTTACTCACTATTTACAGTGTGTTATTATACAACTGACTACAGTCTCATCACTTATTGAAGTATGATATTCATCTGATTTCTTCATTACTTCTCATTCTTTTCTTATAATTATGAAAAGATCAGAATAAGTGAGATTATCTGATTCATAAGTATCTATAATTTCTCTTACTTCACAAGGCTTTTCAATTGTAAGTCTCTTCTTTTTCAATACTGATAATAGTACTATAGATAATTATAATTTACTCAGATCTTGCATCTTTATCTTCATAAGACATGAATCATTTATTAAGTTATATAAGACTTATTTTTCTGGTTTCTTCAATGCATATATTCTCAGAGAATGTGATTTGAGTATTTTATAGAGCTTAAATCATCTAGATTTCAACTTCTCAGAATTCTCATTGTATATGAGAACTTATATTCTCATCTTAAGACTTGATTTCTTAACTAGTGAGTCTCATATTCTTTTCAATTGAATTGCTTGATTCAGAAGTAACTTGTTAGCTTTTGCATATGCATGGCTGATCTCTTTCAATCTTAGTTTTATATCTGCAACTGCTGCATCTGCAACTGCTACTACTGTATCTGTAACTGCTGTTCCTGCTGCATTCACAACTGTTATGTCTGCAACTGCTGTTCTCTCTTCTACCTTTTTCAAAGCATTCTTCAGGATGCGCGGATGAGTTCGTATAACAGATAGAATGATAAACACTTGAAGACTGCATACTGCTGAATTCGCGTGATTAATAGCATCTGACTGAGATATTCATCTCATAATCTCATAGTCTTACTTACTAGATATTTCATCAGCATGTTGCTCAGGATTTTATTCAAGTATTTCATCTTCTCATTTATCTGTGAGTGATATGACATTGTTCTACAATGTCTTGTCTGTAACTGACTCATGGAATGCCTCATTATTTCTTCTATAAGATTTGCATCATTATCAGTTAGAATCTTGTATGATATTTCATAGTTGATATAGATCTCATCATGTAGAAACTTCATTATCATCTTCTCTGTTATCTCTGAAACTGCTTTCATAACTGGCCAGTCAGTAGTGTAGTTAATAACAGTGATTATTCAATAATTTTCATTTGATATTTACAGTAATATATCTATGAGATTCATCTCTCATTATTTAAATAGTTGTATTGTACATTTCATCTGATGTTATACTTTCTCATGTTCTAACTCTTTCTTAGATTCTTTCATGACCTGATAATTCAGGCACTTATGAGTATATATCTGAATATTCTCAGTCATGCTTGATCAGTATACTCTTGATTCAAGTACACTCATGAGTTCAGAACTTTCTAAGTGACTGAATTTCTTGTGCATGTAAGTCACTAAGTCATATCTAAATGAATGTTCTAGATAGAGAGCTTCTGTGTATTCTAGATTATAATAAAGCATAATATTATTTTTCAATTTTCTCAGCTTGAAGTTCAGAAGTATCTCTTCTATCACTTTCACAAGATGCTTGTCATCTGATATCTTGCTATTCTCTAAGCAAGATATTATTGTATTCACTTATTCTGATTTCTTGTACTCTATTAGTACATTTAATATAAACTTTCCTTGTGCCTGATTCACAGAACTCTCATTTATAAAATCAGGTCTGTAACTGATTGTATCAGATATCACAGTGTTCAATCTCTTTCAGTATTTAATATTAAGATTATACACTTGAAACCCTGAGATTCAATGTACTAAGTGTTTAAAAGATTTTATTATTAATTATAAATAGATAAGACTTTCATAATTCATGATCACTGTTGTTGTATGTCTGTTATTAATATATCTATTTCATATCACCAGTGTGTGCTTGATTGCTAGCAATTTCTTTTCATGCACTGAGTAATTGAGCTCAGCATCTGATAGTTTTCTACTATTATATATCATCAGATGCAGCTTGCTGTTCTTACCTATCTGTAGAAGAGTGTTTTCAATAGCTCATTCAGATGCATTCATCTTGATATAGAAAGATTTATCACAGTCTGATTAAATAAGCACTGAAGATATTATTACATATTCTCTCAGTGTGAGAAAGACCTCCTTGCACACAGTATTTCAGATAATTGAATGAAACTTCTTCTTTTACAGATTTGTATCTGTTTCTCTTAAGAGATTTGAGAGTCATGCAGATATTCATATGAAATTCTTAATAAATCTGCAGTAATATGAGATTAATTCAAGAAACTGTCATACATGATGTACATTTCTCAGCTATGATTAATTGACTATAACATTCAATTTCTCTGAAATAAGATGTATACAGTCATCATTCTCTACATGTTCTATAAACTTTAACTCTTTCATTTCAAACATATACTTTGTTGATTTGATATAGAGCTTATACTCTGTCAGAGTTGTAAGCACTTTATCAAGATACTTCAGATATTTGTTATATAAGTTTGAGAAGACTAGAATGTCATTCAGATATACAAGATATGAGATTTCATTCTGTTTATAAAGAATTTTATTCATCATTATTTAAAAGATAATAGACACATTTATCAGACTGAATGATATTATCAGAAATTCAAACTTCTCTTATTATATATTAAATGTGATTTACAGTACTGACAGTTCATCTACACAGATCTGCTAATATTCTGAGAGAAGATTAATCTTTGATAGATATTAGATGTTTCTAACTGTATTTCACTGTTATTAAATCTGTGATAATGAGTATCTGTTCTTGATTATAAGCTTATTAAGTACTTGATAATTAATACACATTCATCACTTCCTATTTGTCTTTTTCACAAATAGAACTGAGAAACGTCACACACTTGATGAGAATTGTATAAGATCATGTTTTAAAAGGTCTGTGATCTGATACTTCTGTTCTTCAAGATATGTCTGTGACAGAGAATACATATTTTGATTGACTGATTTCACATCTCTCATGTCAATCTTATATACAAATCCTCATTCCAGCAGCAATTCTGATAAAAGATCTGTTTAGAAGATCTTCTCATACTTCTTCAGAAGTTTCTTCATACACTTGTTCTTCTATATATTTTTTATCTTAATTTTCTTCACTTTCAGGTTCTGTATGACATACAGAATGCTTTCAGATGAGATCTTATAAATTATTCTCTTTACTTGTTAATGTATAAGCAGATTTAATTCTTCTATATCAGAGATGTGAAATGTCCTTCTCATATCAGTTAATAGAATTGTATGAACTGTTTTCTTTCTGTCAGTTAACTGTATATAACATGTACATCATTGTATCTATGAATTGAACCTTTGAAATCAATCAAGTTCAAGAATAAGGTCATATTTCACATTCTGCAGCTCTCATGCTCAAATATAGCAAGATCATTCTTCAAAGTACAAGAAA